ACATACTTTATCAAAAGTAACTATTTGAATCGGTTCTGAAATTGTTACCGATTCTTCCTCCAAGATGAAGTTCTTAATCTTATTCTTCCCCCCAAACTCAATATCCTCAAAGAACGTAATAGTTCCAGTCTCAAAAATTGTCTTTAATGTGGGATCATAAAATTTATATCCCCTGGATCGTTTAGCATAACCAATACTTACTGTTCGGGAGTCCAATTTCTTTTCATTTGACTTATAAGGTTTTGTCTCAGCTGGACAATCCCACACATGGAAATGTTTCAGACTAAGTTGTCGCCCAATCCAAAGCTCATAAGGTGTTTTGGTAGCTGCTTTAGTTGGTACTCTGTTTAGAATATAAGTTGTCGTATTTAGTGTCTCTCCCCAAAGTGATTCCAGTAAGGTGGAATGACAAATCATACTCTCTACCATATCTTTAAGAGTGTAACACAAGCCCAAACGTCACGATTTGATTGTGACTTGAGCATTTGTGCCATAATGTACCTGAATGAGTATTTTCAATTTTACGTTTAGTACCACGTGATTCTGTATTAAGGGTTTCATTATAGGTGGTCATAATATCAAGTAAATACTGATTATCATAAATCAAAAGTGAACCAGTTCCAACAATATATGAATTAAAAGACAAACTGAACTTATTGTTTCCAAATGAACACAAATAACATAATTTGTCCAAATAAGAAACTGAAACCAAATTCCGTCTAAATGACGGCACAACAAAAGTGTCTTTCAAATCCAAATAAAAAACCAGTACTCAATAACAATTTAAAATGTCTTATAGCTTCCACCTCTACCGATTTGCCATCTCCAACATAAATCCATCTTTCAGAATCAATTGGTTTCCGGTAGTTTAGACAACCCTTTCTTTTCACGCCAAGCATGATATTTATCATATTTCTTCTTTATGTGTCCAGTCTTATTGCAAAAGAAACATTTGTTTTCTTGAGTTTGTTTCTTTTGTTCTGGACCCTTAGCAGCTTCTTTCTCGAGATCCTCTGATCTCTTTCTTTTGCCCTTAGCCTTGGAGGTGCTTGCAAAATGAGCACTTTCTGTCTTGTCTTGCTTTAGTCTTTCCTCTTCTTGTACGCAATGTGAAATGAGTTCATTAAGAGACCATTTATCCTTCTGACAGTTGTAAGATACCTTAAATTGATTAAACGTTGCAGGAAGAGAAATCAACACCAAATGAATGAGCAAGTCTTCTGAGAGTTCAAGCTTTAGTGCCTTGAGTTTAAAAACAATATTAGACATGCTCATAATGTACTCTCTGATATTTCCTTTGCCTTGGTATTTCATGGAGATCAAGTTCTGAAGAAGAGTGTTTGCTTCCGCCTTATCATTTTTTGCAAAGCGCTGCTCAATTTCAGCAAGAAATTCTTTGGCACTTGTGATGTTTTCAGAAACAGTGCCCCTGAACACCTCCGGGATGTCGCGCTTAATGATCATTAGACTCATGCGATTTGAGCGATCCCACTTCTCATAATCTCTTTTTTGTTCAGAGGTACTTGAATCCATAGGAGTAGGGGGTTGCTCAGTCCTTAACGCAAGATTCGTATCCATGCAACCAAGAACAATATCAATGTTCTCTTTCCAGTCCTTACAATTTGTTCCATTGAGGACTGGAACAAAATTTAAATTGACAGATACAGAAGCAATTGTAGCTGAATTTAGAACACGAGAAATAAACTAATTATGTTCACATTATATAAAAAATAAATAATATATATTCAAATAGTGGTTTAACCCATCTCAAAACACCCAATGCACCATAATATTAACTACTAGAGGTATTTTGTTGTAATAATCAAACATTGATAATAAAGCACGTCCAACAACTAAAGATGGCAAAACGGGCCAGCCCCCCTCCCCCCCCCCCGTTTTGGCCCGCCTCGCCTTTGGCCGCCAAAGCGGGCGGTGAGCTGACCTGATATAGTCATGACGAGTCGTAGACCTTAGCCGCCCAGCCAAGGGGCTGGCTAGGCCGACCAGTCATAATTTAGAAAAAATATATTTTTTTTAAAATTAAATTTTTTTAATAAATTTAATAATAAAAGTATTATTTGTTTGTCAATAATTCAATATATATATATATATATATATATATATATTATTTCAATTTAATAATATAAATCAATACATTATTTTAAGAAATTATAATTTAGAACAATAATAAAATTTACATAATAATAAATAATAACAAATATATATATATATATATATAAATAACGTTAAACTTATAAAATTTATATTTTTTATATTGAAAAATTCAAATACCTATATCTTTTTTATTTGATAAAACTTCATATTATTCTTGATTAAGTAATTCTTACACCATTAATTCAAGTAATAAGGATAAAAATAACCAAGTGTTTAGGATAAACAAGGAGAACAAGAGAGAAGGGGTTATGTTTCAGGAAGGAGAATATTTTCTGTGAGAATAAAACTTTTTTAATTCTCTTTTTAAAATTTTTAACTTTATATATTATCTTTATAATTAATTTTATTATAATAAAAAATTATTTTTTATTAATTAGGCGGGATGCGGGCTGGCCCGCCCCGTCCCACGGGTTGGCCCGATGGGTTGGCGGGCTTGGCGGGGCGGGCCAAAGCGGGCTGGTGGGCTGAAAACACCAACCCGCCCCGCCAGGCCTAACCTGTTTTGCCATCCTACCAACAACAAACCAGTCTTTGGATTGATTTATCATCGACAAAGCAAATCCTTATAATTATCACATGTTTATCATTACAAGTGTGTATGTAATTCGGCCAAATATTAATCTTCCTTTGGGCCGACTAATACTCGCATGAATATACACAAACACTAACATTCAATATTTTTCATGAACTGCCCAATTCAAGAGAGGTTACTTTGGTGACTTCTTGACTCAATTTGCTCACAAAAAATATTAACTTACCAAAAAATTGAATATTTTACTTATATAACAAAACCAAATATTTAATATTTGCAAACTAATTCAAAAGAGAATCACCTCATTAGAATTCTACTAAGGATGAACACCTCCCTAAAATCTCATTAGGGATACCTCATTTGAACAAATCAAAGGATGAAAAAAGATCTCATTTTCCACCAATACATAAAGGATGAACATCTCCCTAAAATCACACTAAGGATGAAACAAAGATAGTTCTGAGTCTCTTTAGCATATTGCTCTAAACCCTAAAAGGGGATTAAACAGTAATCACTCAAACCCTAAACAGGGAATTTAACATCAAATTTTTCTAAAAATAAGAACAGTCACACCTGTGGAAATATTCACCATTTACCTAATATTCTCTGTGTTGGGAACTCCACAAACATCACTCCCAATTCCAAACATATAAAATTAAATAAAAACAAAAGATTAAAAAAAGAACAGAGAACCCAATACAAGAAAAATTGAAATTTGAAACACTGTTTCTTTCTTAGTAAAACTTGAAACTTAAACTGAAACAAAAGGGAAAAACGAAGAAGAAGAATCCATAACTTCCTCCACGGTTCCATCAGCAAGCAGAATCAGATTGGGGATGTTACCCCCAAATTTAAATTTTAGGGTTCACGAAAATTAGAGATTATTCTCCACTTAGGGTTCATAAAATTGGGTAATTTGAATTGTTTAAAACAAAATTAATCCTAATTTTTATAATTAGGGTTCTATAAATTAAACAGATATGAATCAAATATGGGCGACTCTGATACCAATTGTTGGAAAATTAATAATAATAATCCTGATTTTGATTCTAACGATCAAACATAAGCGTAATTCCATACTGATAAACATGTTGTAAACTGAATGCGAAAACGTACCTGAATTAGCCATAACGATGATGTCTTTGTAGAGCACTATATTGATCTTATGGTCTTCCACCTGAAGAACACCTGTATTTCCCTCTTGATTTTCTCTCTTGATGGGGATAGAAAAAAAGGAACAGGACTGATACTTACGTTCTGTGTGTGTGCTCCCAGAAGGGGACCATGACCCTTAACCAGAATTAGGTTAATTACTTAAGTTTTAGTATTTCCAATTTGGCCCCTCATCAAATTAGAAATTGCTCTATGATCTCTACACAATTTTATTTTCATGACATATGCCTTTAGCCAAAACTTTAATTTAATCAGATCACTTTATTATTTGGCTTAACAAATAATGATCAGTAACACATTTAAATTATGTATCATATATATACATGACCCAAATTTTGCCAACAACATATAAATCGATTATGAACCACCATAGTTTGTTGTGTTTTATATAATAATAGTAAATAATTAAAAATTAATTATATTTAAAATAATAAATAAAATTATTTGTACTCTTTTTATCTAAACAAATTAAATTTTATTTTATTTTTCTTCTTGCGAAACTAGCTTAATGGAGAAAGGTATTTATTTAACAGTAGCACTGTTAGCGTTCCACGCTCTAAACTTGTTGCTGGTGAATGATGGAGTACGGCAATGGTGCTGTGAATAGTGTGATTTAAGAAAACAAAACAAGAAACAAGATAAGGAGAAAAACAGTCCAAATTATGGTTGTCTTTTTCCTCCAACAGCCAACGTTAAAGTCTAAACTACCTCTGTCCTCTTCGATTGGCTATCATAACAAAGCCTTAACACACAGGTCATTGTCCACAAAAACGGTTGGTCGGGAAGGAATGTGGATCAATTCAATTCCTCATTGTGTTATGCAAAAGCAAGAACATGGAATAAAGTTTGCTTAGACGGTGCATCTGTGCTACGCAAATTAGTTCATCTACATAAATGAGATTATTAAATGCGTAAAAAAGGCTGAAAATGATTAACTTTTAAGTGTAAAACAGTATTTTTCTTTCATGGAAAGTAAAATAAAACTAGCAGTACTTGTTTAGGAACCATCCAATCCAAAATAATTGTTTGTATATTTGCAGAAGAGAATATTTTTAGTTAAATGTCATTGTATGAGGATTTGCACATTCACCACAAAGTTGCCTCCCTAATATTGCAAAGTTCACTCAACTTCGATAGTCACCTTTAATAATTTGGGTGCTTTTTGGCGTTGGATTGTGTTTGCAGTGTCTGAGACTGTACTGTTTGTAAGTTAGTTTGGTTGAAGGAGGGCCATGAAGTTATTATATCCGTGGTGTGGGGAAGACATAAGCAATGACTTATGCATATGCAAGTGTTTCATTACTAGTTCATTTTTTTCTTAGTTTCATGCATCAATTAGATGGGGTGTATTGATGGATGGTGGGGAATTGTCCTACTTTATGGGTACTGGGATTTTGGTAGGACATACCCATTGATTTTGTAAATATTAGTTAAATTTATATTTATTTCATAATATGACAGGAGAATATATCTTATTGATGTTTATTGGATTTATTTATTTTATTAAATCACTCTCGGTTCCTCTCCATGATACGTGGATGCAATTGTTTGGTGTAGTTGAAGAAAAATGAAGAACAAAGACTTTGATGTGGATGAAATATTAAAAAAAAAAAAATCTTTCCTTCATGGTTATGGATGAGAAAATAGATCAAATAATCCTACATCTATTTCTCTAATGGAATGTCAACCTAGGGCTATGCATATCCATATCTTAAGCAATTATAAAGGAAGAAAGTTGGAATAGATGAAGTGATAGGAGATTTAAAGTATTTTAAGAATGTAACTTTGTTCTGTTGCATGTTTGCTGCATAATTATGATCATTATATACTGATATGCTTATTTTGTCACATATGTAATTGGGTTGGATTTTGACTATTATAACTTTTTTGCAGACATTTTTAGATTCATCATCAATAGAATATTTCACAACAAAATGAGTTTAGTTAATGATGAAATTAAATATGTATTCAACAATAGTGAAGATTGAAATGTGCTAATAAAGATTTATTTGGAGATATTTTACTACTGTTATTTGATTTTAGTAAAAAAAATACTAGAATAGGATTTATCTTTATTTTGATTGAATAATACTGTATTATTAGAATAAAGGAAAACATGTGGTTAAAATGTATTTGAGCAAAAAAAAATTATTTGCATCTATGGTAATTATAGTATCTCTTTTTAATGAGTTTTGATTTGCTGATTTAAAAAAAAAATACACATATCCTCTATATGAAGAAGATGGTTTAAAAATCTTTTATCCACTAAATTATAATATATAAATAAGATTACAGAGCAATTGTGACGATACAAGTACTTAAGAAGCCCAATTCGTTTTTTTTTTTTTTTTTTTTTTTTTTTTTTAAATAAATGATTTCCGAAATCACCCTATCAATTTCATACAATAAAAAGAAATTATTTACAGTCTATAGTCAAAGAAACCAAATTTTAAAATTCACCCACTTTTTTATAAGCATCATTTATTTTATTTTCAGTTCATTTTTATCTTCTCGCTTTCTAATCTAACACACTATTTATTACACCTCTGCTCTATATCTCTCTTTTTCTTCCAACAAAGTGGGGTGGAGGGTTTTAAATTTCGAATTCATGGTAACAAATGAGCTAAAAGTGCTACCTATTTATGGAAAAAGGCTAAAGTTCAATCTGTATTGTATATATAGTCAACCAACATTTTAGACATGTACTCTTCAGTTACAACCATACATGAGTTGTACCTTTGAGAGTTTGCATAGACAGGTTCAGCATCTGCCAAAAAGAATGCTGGATGGTATGTTTTAGGTAGTTTCTTAGACAACTTGAGCACATGCATGGCTTAGATACTTTTTGCCAAAATAAAATTTCTGATAACAAAAAACATTTAAACTAGTCCACCTAAGATTCATTCCACTTTATTTGCATCTTCATACCAAATTTATTTCATATCAAGTGGAAGGGACCACAGAGAGCTCCAAGCGACCTGTCCATTCTTCACCTGGCTTCAACGTGATTGGTTTCTCAATTGCTGCACCATCCACGCAAAGCATCTGCTTGTACTCTTCATCCCCCAAATCCACTATCGCCTTGGATTTTTTCTCCCATGGATTCCAAACAACTATGCAACACCAAAGTTGGTGAGGATATGGTTAGTTTTAGCTGTTCAATTGCGTACGAAAGTTATACTAACCTACCAACATCATTCAGCATTTCATTTGGAAGTGCAAGGAGGGACCATACCAACATCTGGGAGTCCTTCCTTTCTTATGACAATTGTTCGCTTCTTTTCGTGGTCTAGAACAGCTACCCCATTGCTACCCGAATCAACATACACTCGATCCACCTAATACAAGGGGACATTAACATAAGCACATTAAAGTAGATTACCCCACCTCACTAAAACACAAGTTTTGAGTTTGTGTAAAAAGGTAATAATACTATAGAACGACAAAAACTAGAGCAAAAACGAAAGATGCCCTCAGTTGTCTCACCTCTGATTCAAATGTCAAAGCATCTCCTTGTTCTGTGAAGCGCTCTTGGTTGTATAGGTTGTCCAGATAATCAAGAGTTTCTAACCCTTCCACCCTCACTTCACTGCCAATAATCGTCAGAGATTAATGTGCTTATTCAAATACTGCAGATTTTATGAAATGACCATCATAATGAGTTTATGTAAAATTCGTTTCATTTTTCTTTTTCAACATTCACATCCTTTTTTGTCAAAGTGTATGTTCTCATGATCTCATATGGATACGGACCTGATATCAGAGATAGAGTAATACGTATTATACGCAAAGGAGAATCTGAAGGGCTTGCTATTCACGTTCCTGACGCGAGAAATCATAGTTAAATATCCATTTCCTGCCAAAGAGACCCTTAACCGAAGTTCGAAGCTGGACAAAATACTTCAGATCAGTATTCGGAGATTCAACCAAATAATTTAGGCGAGATGCAAAAAAACAGGATAAAATTCCATATGTCTGAGGTCCCCTACATGTGGTTGGGGTCTCTGCACTGACGGCAACGGTTCATCTTGCAATGTAAGTTTTTGGACTGATTAGAGTTTTGGACTAGAAAAATGTCATGAATTTGGTATATCATTTATATTTCCTACAATTTATATCCATGTTTTTCTTGTCTCTATTTTAAAAGATAAAAATGCTGGTTGTGGAGTAATAAAACATGTATAATATGCATTTAATTCCAGACCTATGTGGCCATATTTTCAGATCATCTTCTGTTGGTTTGAGCAGCAAGTCAATATAGGCTTTTTCACTGAAATCAGTGGGAAACGGTGGAGGATCTTGATCAATTACCCACATTTTGTTCCTGGCAAACCCATGATGCTCTAATGATCCACGGTTTCTAAACTGGAAAAATAAAATCAAAAGCAGTCAAGAACAACCCCTTGTTTATCTAACTATGTGTATGTAATTCTTCTGTTAGTTTTTTTTGGGCTATGTCTGAGTATAACATATTTAAGTATTCAGTATTAAATAGAATTATCCGAAATTCAAATTATACCTGAGGGAAACATATTGCTATTCCTCCTCGTAATGGTTTGAGAGGATTAATGATTGCCTGAGAAAGAAACGCCACATGTACAGAGAAAACTTGCATCCTCAAGTAGAAGTCAATTAAATAATAAATGTTTCCAGAACAAAAAGAGTAAAAAACCTGATCATGTTTACCTTACTACTACTGAACAAAAGCTCCTCGCCACGTTCCCATTTCCATGAAAGAACCTGCCCTCCTCGCAAACTAACCTGTAAAGTGTTGCCCACATTAACATCAATTTATGGAAATAGTTATTTCAGACTCAAAAAGAGAAATTGTTATATGTTCAGGGATGACATGATCTGGATAATTTCTATCTGACATCTAACTACATTTTAAAGTTTATATAAAAGTTTCAATAACGTGTCATGTTGAAATTGATCTGAACATATAATCATTGACCATAAACTAATTTCTGCAAAAGGTGGTGAGTGTAATCGATTATGGAAAGTTCAAAGAATCTAACCTTTGCTGAAGCTCCTCGATGGTTCCGGAGAACCACTAGGCCTATTCCATTCCTATCCTTAGTAACTTCAACCGCTGCTAAATCATCTTTTCCAGCCCCAGAATGATTCATGTCCAAACTCCTCTCTGATAATATGAATTGAAGAAGCAAGAAACAGGATTGGTATCACTATTCTTTATCCCTGTAAGGCAAGAAGTTCAGACCCGTTTCCCGTGATGATAAGAAAAATTAATTAACAGATTCAGCTGCCACGAAACCAGGTCAAAAACCATGGGTTTCCCATGACACCTTCCACGTGAAAACCCAAGTTTTCCCACCAAAATTGAAACCAAAATCGCAACTTTTCAACTATCAACTACCAACTACCTTCTGATTAATCTTGTCTAATAACTCGTAGTGAGGATCAATTATCGAATTACGGTCAAACACAGACGCATGAAGAAAGAATGACTGTGATTGCTATCTGTATTTTTACTATCTCTTACCATCAAATGATCAGCTAGCATACTAAAACAGGTGTAAGCGAAATCCAATTCTATCAGTTACCAATCCGAAAATAACATAATTCAAACAGGGTTTCACTCACATCCCTCCAATTAAATATGGGATCATGAGTGTTATAAGTATCATATTAAGTTAACAATTAGAAACCCAAAAAATTATTTACCTAAAACTCAAACAAGCAGAGTTGAGGTAGAAGGGTTCCGAATTTCAACCCCAGCTGTGAACAACTCTAATATGATTATGCACACGTGACTACAATGACAGACTTAACGACCCGGTTATTTAACAATCCAAGTTTGGTTTTAAGGAGCTTGAAATGAAGCATAATACAAGCTTAAAAAAATGGTCCCCTTCTAGTTCTTACAAAGATTATATAGACCGTAGAGCAATCAAGTAAATACTAGAGGCCTCAATGAGCATGCTACTGCATTTGCTGATGGGAGAATTATGGAGATAACCATCAATCATTCAGACGGTGAAGATAGTGACTCGTAACGTAAGTATTACCTTAATTAGATTGCAGTGGACCCAAAACATGCATTTTTCTTGATATTATGGCCATTTTTTCAGTTTGTCAAATTATCTTATGCTAGAAAAGAGAGGAAGAAAGATAGTTGTATACTTCTCGTTCACAATGTGGGTTCAAGGAGTGAAAAGAAGATTGGGTTGGAGATGGATGGGGGCGAGGGCCTTATCCTTCGGCATTGGTACACTCTCTGGTTCGACATGCATGAAAGTGATATGACATAATAAATATAATAGAAAAATCAACTCGTGGACATGATTGCCACTCGAAAACCACATTCTTAACACTTGTCCTCTGCTAATTGCATGTGCTCCAATTATCGTCCCGTCCACGTCATACTTTATTGACTAGTTTATAATTTTATATACAGAAATGAAAATTAAATCTTTTATGGAAAGTGACAAAAATATATCAAGGAGATTCAGACTTTACAATATAATATTTTGAAACCTTTGTGCATCCTCGCTCTCCATTTTATAATAATTTATTCTAGCTAATAAAAATGTTTAAGTGACGGTTAATGTCTTTGACAATTTGTAAAATCCAGGATGTATGTGAGAGATAATGATGACTGGTCTACGTCAAAATTCGATGATAATGATGAGTTTTTATTTACGAAAACAAATTTGTTCATACTCAGCGTAATCATGAAATCGTTATCATTTATTATTTTTATTTTTTTCAAGATAAACAATTTATTTTATGATTCTGTATTCATTACTTGCATATTTAATCTGTCCAATCAAAAACTCATCATCATATATATGTAATATGGTTTAAAAAAATTAATTATCTTATTATGTTAATTAAATTGATGAAATATAGAATTCAAACGCGTCTAATATATATTTTATGTATATATATATATATATATATATATATATATATATATATTTACTTTTTTATATATAATCATCATTATATAAATTTTTTATTTATTTAATCCTAATTTTTTTATTTACGTTTAAATAATAATTATCATCCATTAAATTACATAATATTGTACATATATCCTCCTATTTGTCTATTAAATAATTATTCAAAATATATAAATTAAATTAGTTTATCAATAAAAAAATTAAAATAAATATTTGTGATAATCCTTTAAAATATAATCACGTCAACTTTTGTGATTTTTTACTTGATTATTGATGTTTAGGTTATATCTAAAAAAAATACTAATAACATATATAATTATATATAATTAATTGAAACATAAAAATAAAATTATGATATAATTATCTATACATAGAAAAAAATACTAATAACATATACAAATAGTTGAAACATAAAAATAAAATTACGATATAATTATCTATAAGAAAACAAATTTTATTGTCACTGTTTAAAAAATATTGATAATTTTTTATGTCACAAACAAAATCATGTATATATATTATCAATCTTAAATATGATAAATAGTTAAAATTGAAATTAAGTAAAAATAGATTATAATGAAAATGTAATTATATTTTTTTTAATAAAAAATAGTTATGATATATGTTTGTATCTTTGTTTTCCTTTTTTAACCGATGATTTAAATAAGTTATGATATATGTTTGTGCGATGCTATTTTAACACATTTGACATATATAAATGAAATAACACAAGCTATCTAACCCATGTGCTATTTAAGCTTCTTTTCTCTCCTCCAACATTGGGAGAAAATTATAATGCTAGTAAAGAATCAATACAAAATAAAGAAATAATATATTGACAATCCGTTTTTTTAATATAATTTTGGCTGGGGCAGGGGATTCATCCATAGGGACTCCACGATTACCCCAAAACATGGTTCACAAATTGAAGGACGAGGAGAAAAACCCATTAGGAGTCATATTTTTTTTTCTAACATTTTATGCTTCATTTGACTTTGTCTCTAATGTTTTTATGTATCTTGAAATTATGTTTTATTACACAAAATTTGTATGAATTTTGATATTAGTATTGATATTTAGACTGCTTTGCATAGTTTTTTAAGTGTTAATATTTATAATTGATATTATTAATGTTGTTAATCTATATTGGCGACTAAAAAAAAAAAGGAATGATTATTATTCAAAATACAAAAATGGAAGCATGTTTTTGGCTGAATGTTTAAATTTATATAAAATAAAAACATATTCTTAATGTTTATTTTGAATTACTATATAAGTGGACATATTTTCATTAGGAGTATTTTAGTGGTGCAGTGATACGTGGGCTGTGGTAGTGGCGCAGTGATACGTTTCAAATCATCGAGGAAGTTTCCGATTGATCGTTTCCGAAAATGAACGACGCAGATGTCCCTAGGCAAATCCAGCAGATGGTGCGGTTCATCCGCCAGGAAGCAGAGGAAAAAGCCAACGAGATCTCTGTCTCCGCCGAAGAGGTATCTTTTCATTTCACCGTTTTCTCCTCCTTCGCTTTCCAATCCATGCCCTCAAACCGAATAGTCTTTTTCCTTCTGCAGGAATTCAACATCGAGAAGCTGCAGTTGGTCGAAGCCGAAAAAAAGAAGATTAGGCAAGAGTACGAACGCAAAGAGCGCCAGGTCGAAATTCGCAAGAAGATGTAACTTCCTATGTACCTTTCTATCCTTTTTTTTATGTTGATTTGTCTCTGTAAGTTCAAAATTCGTTGGAATTTATCGTCCGTTGATATTGCGGGAAATTGAATTCTGGAGACTAAGTCCAACTCGTTTAGATCTGGATCCTTGCGTGTCATAATGCCGCAATGTCAATTGACTGTGATCACTGATACCGCCAAAGTTTGATTTCTTATGCAACCGGATTCAGTGCAGTTATTTTTTCATGTAATCACTTATTCAGTGTATTTATAATTGAATTACTGTGATTCTGAACGAGTGTCTTAAGTACTATAATATGATCTGTCAGATCTTTGTCGAACGGTTTTGAGTTGCTGAATTCCCGAATGCATGCAATTCAGGTCATTTATGATATAGCCTACCGGATCCTTGTGGCCTTGTTGAACTATTCAGTAAAATCAATAATTAATGTTAGCTCCATTTTGAACTTTTGCATTTGGAAGATATTGCTGTAGATTTAGTTTAGTTCCTTTTGTTTATTTACTTTGTTTGGGTTTGAATAGTTCGGTTTGATGTTTAATTTCTTTCAAGCTGTTGACATCTGTGGCAAATTACTTGAACTCAAGGTTATTGTCAAAGTTTGATGAATGAGATTGAGAGTTTAGTTTCAGAGACGTATTTGTGAAATACAGAGCTGGGTGTTATAAAACAGTGCTACTTGAGATAGTTTATGTTCTGAGGGACAATTGATTGTTTGTTACAGTGAGTACTCGATGCAGCTGAATGCTTCTCGAATTAAAGTTCTTCAAGCTCAAGATGACGTGATAAGTTCCATGAAAGAAGCTGCTTCCAAGGAACTTTTGAGTGTGAGTCATCATCATCATTTGACTTTGTCTCATCATGATCATGTGTACAGAAACCTTCTGAAAGATCTCATTATTCAGGTCAGTTAAAGTTTCTATATGGTACACCTGCTTATAGTTTGGTAATTTGATTTTGTTGTTTTGTTAAGTATTGATATGAGATTGTTGTTTCCATTTCTTTGGTTAGAACCTTGCACATAGGCAACTGTTGTTAATGTTATTTATTTATTGTGTCCCATTCAGCATTATATCTATAACCAATATTTTCATTGCAAATTGCTATTATCTAGACACCATTGTATCAACATCATTGATTGTTTTGTGATAGGAAATTGGGTATTATGAGCTGCTCAATGGAGTATTTAAGTGTTTGGTTCTCCTTTCTTAATAGCTATTTTTTGAAGATAGGTTTCCTAAGTGCTTGAGTACTCATCAATTAGTTTCAGAACTGGTTGTTGTTGTCTTGGAAAATGCTATCTATGGAGGGTCCTGACCAACAAGAGAGTTGAGTGAAGTGTCACCAAATGAAGTGTTGTAGAATGAAAGTTGCCTCTCTTAGAGGTAGTGCTATGATAAGCCTAGGCATTATGGGACACCTAGATCCCACGTTGAGTGCTATGGAATGTTTTGGTGGAGTATTTAAGTGATCGTTTCTCTCCCTTAATTTCTGCAGTGCTTGGGTATATTTGAATCATAACTATTTCCTGACATGGGAACCAACCTTGGTCTCCATGTTGTGTTTAATGGCATGGGTTCAATTCCTGCCCCATCCTCTTACCCCTCCCTCTTTCCCTGGTTAACAATACCTTTTTAATCATTTGTAATAATATATTCTGCTAGACTACTGTTTATTGTAGACTACCTTCTATGCGCCAGTATGTGGAATTGGAATATAATGTAAGGGCTGTGTGTAACAGTGTTTGCTAAGACTGAAAGAACCTTCTGTCTTACTGAGATGTCGGAAAGATGACCTTCACTTGGTAGAGCATGTGCTGGATTCTGCTGCACAGGAGTATGCTGGTAAAGCAAATGTTGAACCCCCAGAGATCATTGTTGACAACCAAGTCTATCTTCCACCTGGACCCAGTCATCACAATGCTCATGATATCTACTGGTAAAATTCATGTTACAATTAAATCTTAACTTACTGTTTGGCCCTGCCAATCTAGGATTTTCTTTCTTACCCTATGCTATACTTTTTTCCTGGTGGTTAACTATAATTCAACATTGGCTTCCGAGAAAAGTATCAATTGCAAATCTTCTGTGCATAGTAATTCTTACCTAGAACAATTGAGGATGCTTCCTAAAATCATATTAGCTGTTAGCTGCTTTGATATTTAATTTCAGTCGTAGCACACCTTATTATCTTTGTTGATATTCAGTTCTGGTGGGGTGGTGCTGGCTTCTCTTGATGGAAAGATTGTGTGTGAAAATACTCTTGATGCACGACTTGATGTAGTGTTCCGTAAAAAGCTCCCTGAGGTAAATTTTTATGCATATTAGTTCTTACTCTTATTTGTATCCTCTTTTGCTAGATATTTGCTGCTGAATTGTTTATGATAGTGCTAGACAGAGTGCACGAGAAAGAGAGGATTTCTCATTACTGTAAGAAAAATTACAAAGGGTAAAAACTTACAGAGTATAAACCAAAAATGGTTTATATATAAAAGGCTTAACAAAAAGTTGTTATTTATGATATTACAGTTGTACAGTAACAAACTAATAGAATAGAAAAATAATGGAATAATATATCTATGATATCTCTATCACCCTCCCTCAAGGTAAGCATGGACAGTGGTAGATTTTTTTGGGAGCTGAGGGGGGCCGTGGGGCCGTGGCCCTTTCAAAGTTTTGTAACTCCCATGTAATTTATAATTTTGGCCCCTCCCAAACTTAATGAACATTTAATATATTTACAATTTTATCCTCTCAGTTTTGTAACTGTCATATAATTTATGATTTTGTCTCTCTCTAACTTAATGATCATTTAATATATTTAAGTATATATTTACAATTTTATCCTTTTATCCTTTCATCTTCTTTCTTCCTTTTATATTTATTTATTATTTATTAATAATATATTATTTGGCCCCCCAAGATCAATGGTTAAGATCCGCCATCGAGCATGGATGTTGTGCATGCTTAACTTGGACACAATAGATTTGAATATAGATGGATGAAGAGATTTTGTAAAGATGTTAGCAATTTGGTTGTTGGAAGGAACATGAAAAAGTTTGATAAGACCTTCAATAATCTTCTATCTTGTAACATGGCAATCAATCTTGATATGCTTGGTGCGTTCATGAAATGAAGGGTTTTTGGTAATGTGGATAGCAAAATTATTATCACAGAAAACAGAATAGGGTGCAGAAACAGGGACATGAAGATCTTGAAACAAGTAATGGAGCCATTGTATCTCACAGGTTAAGGAAGCAAGAGATCTATATTCAGCTTTAGAGGATGACCTTGACATGGTTGTTTGCTTCTTTGACTTCCATGCCACAAGAGCAGTACCAATAAAGATACAGAATCCAGGAACAGATCTTCTTGTAGTAGCACAGGTGGCCCAGTCAGAATTAGAATATGTGTGCACTTTTAAATAATTGTCAGCAGCATATAATAAGCTATTTCTAGGAACATTTTTCAAATACTTTATAATTCTTATAGTCTGTAGCAGATGAGGTTGTCTTGGAGAAGAAACAAACTGGCTTAATTGTTGTACAATAAAGGCCATGTTCGGCCTAGTATTAGTAAGATATATCAATCTCCCAATTAAACGGCGATATGAAGAAGGATCTGTGAGTAGCTCTCCAGTATCAGCATGTAAGTGAACTACAGGATCTAAGGATCTGAGGGTGTTGATGATGGTTTTGCAGCCAAGCATACTAGCTTCAAAAATTAATTCCAAGCAATATTTGCACTGATTCAAGCATAAACCTGCTTTTGACCGAGAGACTTCTGAAGTATACAAACCAGATCTAATTAAGGTAAAGTGAGACTGGGTGAAGGCTTTATGTAAATATCTTTTGACAAGTTACCATGAAGAATTATCCACATCTAATTGATGAAGAAACCAGTTATGGGCACTAGCGAAAGCAAGAACAAGGCGCATAGTAGTGAGTTTTACTACTGGTGAGAAAGTTTCATAGTAATCAAGTCCTTGAGTTTGAGTGAAGCTCTTTTCCACTAAATGGGCTTTATATCTATCAATAGGTCCGTCTGTTTTATACTTGATCCTGTTTTATCATGAGGAAGAGAAACCAAGGTCCAAGTGTTGTTTCACTGCAGAACTCGGAGTTCAGAATTCTAGCTTGTTGCCAACATTCAAATTTGTTAGCTTCGTTGAAAGAGGAGGGTTCAACTTGTGCAAAAAAATTGTTAACAAAATAAGTGTAGTTAGGAGAGCATTTATTATATGAAAGAAACAAGTGAATAGGATAAGGAGTAGAGAAAGAATCAGGGATGATAGTAGCAGTACCACAATAATAGTGGTCTAAATATCTAGGTCTATTTTTAACTTTAAGGGAAACCCTTTGACTAGCAGTAGAAACATGAGTATTATTAGGAATAATAGTATTATCTATTGTGTAATCTATGGTATGGGAAACTGGTGCAGAAGAAGGAAAATAAAAAATGGGTTACATCAGAAAATTCATCATTTGTAGGGTTGTCAGGCAATGGCAAAGTTGAAGCATATGGAAACACATTTTCATGAAAAATCACGTGTCTTGACACTAAAATGGATTTGGAATGCATGCCATACAACACAAAACCTTTAATGCCAATTTTATATCTAAGAAATATGCATTTTGAGCAACGTGAATCAAGCTTACTGCGTCCTGGAACAACAAAACTAACATATGCTAAACACCCAAAGACTTTGAGATTGGAAAGTTCTAGTTTAACAGAGTGAATCATAACAATGCCATTTTGTTGAGGGGTAGCAACACATGATGTTTCATGAAGAATGCTTTTACGATTAACAAATCATTAAGAAAGAATTCTTTGTCATTGTCTGATCTGAGGCGTTTAAGAGAGCATGCAAATTGGTTTTCTAATCTAAGGCGTTTAAGAATGAACTGTGGAAACATGGTTTTAATATCACTTTTGTGTTTTAAAGCAAAATCCAAGTAAAACGGCGGTAATCATCTACAATGGTTAAAAAGTATTGATATTCATCTATAGATGTAGTATAAATGGGACCCCAAATATTAACATGAATAAGTTGAAAAAAAGTTGTTTTAGTATGACTAGTGGGAAAAGTGAGATGTTTTTGTTTAGAAAAGAACATGCATCACAAACATTAACATGGGTAAAGGAAATATTAGAATATTGAGAAGCTATAAGGTGAAAAATTTTATTTGATGGATGACCAAGTTTCATATGCCACAGATTGTAAGATAAAACAGTATTCGTTAAAGCAGAATGTAAAGAAGAGGAATTTGTGGTACTTATGATTTTGCTGCTGTAAAGATGAAAAAGACCTTTATATTTCTTAGTTACTCCAATCATCAGGAAGGTAGTTTTCTGCACAAGAAAACAACTGTCTTGATAAAAATTACAGAACAATTGTTAGAGGTGAGTAATTGTGAAATGGAAATTAAATGAACAAAAAAGTTAGGAACAAAGAGAGTGTTATATAAAACAAGATTATCAAGAATAATTGTTCCTGAGAAGTGAGCAATAACAAATTGTTGATTAGGCAATTGAATAGAAATGGGCGAAATGAGTTTTAGGGAAGTAAAAAGGGATTTAGAAGAGCATATGTGATCAGTGGCACCCCTATCAATTATCTAAGAGGAAATATTTGGATTAGATAAACACCTCAGGGTTGAAGAGTCCATTGATTCACGCTGGCTGTAGAAATAGAGCTAGCAGTTTGAGATTGTTGTAACAAGCGAAGAATGACCTGGTATTGCTTTTGAGAGAAACTACATTGGACACTTGGTTTATCAACCTGTGTGGTAGAAACATCAGTGGGAGTCGTGGGGGAAGCAATATCAGACACATGAACAGAGGAATTGAATTGAGTAGAAGTTGGTTTGGAGGAGGGTTTATAGCCTTGAGGAAGACCGAATTTGATCCAACAATTATTAGAAGTGTGATTCGTTGACAATGATCGCAAAATTTATTGCGTCCTCCAAACCTATTAGAGCGCCCTCGTTCACGAGATCCAGAAAAACCACCGCGACCATTGTTATTATTTTTAGGGTTTTCTTGAAAAGTCAAATTGGCCAGGGATTCTTGAGTATTTTGAGAAGAAGAGCCATGGAATTCTCGCTCCTATTGAAGAATTAGCGAGAACGTTTTGGGAAGAGGAGGCATGGGTTCTATGAGCATGATTTGGGATCAAACTTGGGAGAACTCATCATTCAAACCACGAAGAAATTTGATGACACAGTCGTCATTGTATTTTTGTTGAAGCTTTGAAAGTAATTTACAAGAACACGGTATGGCATGGAGGCAAACGAAAATAGTTCGGTAGAGAGAGTTCTTTCCAAATGATCTGAAGACGAGTGTAATACTGTGAAACGGAGGAATCACCTTGCTTGCAAGTGTGAAGGTCTTCTAGTAAATTGGCGATACAAAATTTATCACCGTGAGAGAATCGTTGTTGAAAATTGGTCCATGCTTGATAGAGGACGTCATCAAATGCGTTAACCAAGAGATGACCATCTTGTTGCATTTGTTCCAAGTATCCTGATGAATAGCGTCAGCGGATGGGCAAGGAAGAGTACCAAGAACAAATTTTTCTTTGTTCTTGGTTTCAAGAGCAACGAGCATATCATAACTCCATTATTAGCCTCTGATCCTCTTCTCACTTCGTCACATCTCTGTATTTGCACCCAGCAGGCGAGAATCCTGCTCTCATTTTCATCACTCTCTGCATGATGAAAATAACTATCAACAATGGAAGAATTTGTTTTCATATTATTTCCAAGTAGAAAGGTGGGTTATTTTTGCGATATTGAAATTTTGACATTGAAATTAAAAAAAAAAAATACTTCAGGCAAATCATACACTCTGATGGGCAACTAGGACAAGTAATAGAATGAATAGTATGAAAAGCATCGGGACTGGGTTCGGAAATTTTAGGTCTTTAGGCATCATTAATGTTCGAGGCCTGCTTTAATTTAACCTGTCAATTCTCAGTTTATTCTTCAATATTTCTAAGCTCTTTAACAATTTTTATAAATCAAGTAATTTTATCATTTTTCAATAGGTAATGTAATTCATTTAACATAATGTATTACGTCATTGATCTCAAATAGGGTGTTAGCAATGTTAATTTTGACAAACTTCTTTCAATAGTAGCAAACAATTGCAGTATTATCTGTAATATTTTACGAGTAATATGTATTTGGGAAAAAATTCTAATCTTTTGGTATTATTTAATTCCTCTAGTAAGATATTAATTTATATTTACTGATATATTTTTCAATATTTTCAGTTCTAAAAGTAAGTCAAGGCTATCAATATCTACTACAAAATTCTGTGAACCTCTTCAATACTTCAACACATGTATGACTCACTTGACCACCTCAAATATTCACTTTTGAGTGAATATGAAACAAAAGACTGACATGAACTTAAGGAAGATAATAACAAATTAATATTAAAATATAGAAAGTTAGAATGACGAATGAGACCAAATATAAGATGGAAAGGCAACAGAGAATGGATATAATTAGATTATTGGATACTTGGAAAATTTCGTGTGATAAGTAGTCTTAACAAATTATACATATTATATAGTTATATATATTAGATATAAATTTATACGTAAAATTAAGAATTGACTGCAATTATTTTGTTAAGGGGATGGAGAAGCCATTAAGATTGGCTATTGAGCTAAGGAAAAAGAAAATTTCTTCAAACAAAACTCTGAACTTGGAGCTATTGCTCTGACTCAAATAACTTAAATACAGCATTATGATTCATATCCCAATTTGCGTATTTTCTTCGGTAGTGCTATTCACTTCATTCAACAATATTATACTAGTAAACGCTTTCTAATGATTGCATCGAAGCTATAGCCAACTAAAAACGGCTATTGATTTGGTTCCAAATTCAGTAAGTCCTTTCTTCCCCTGTCCATATCTGTGCCTTCGTATTTTTTAGACTGGTCCGGAGATCCTTTTCGCTAATTGTTCCACACTCTTCCTTTCTCCTTCCAAACAAAATATATACCTTAAATCCTTTATTGGCCAACTTCCTGTCTATTATGTTTATTTTGGATATTCTTTAGGATGATAAATTTGGTATGTCATTGGATAAGTTGAATTTGTTATTGCCAACATTCTTCTTTATTTTCTTTCTTGGGAAAAGGCAAAGGGATGTAATTATTTTGAGATGATGAACTGGTTAATCATGTCAAACGACTAGACTCTTACGAAGTTTCTTGCTCCTTGTTGCAGATTCGAAAGCAGCTCTTTGGACAAGTTGTTGCTTGAAGATTTCGATTGTATTGTTTCTTTACCCCTGTAATGTTTATATCTCTAAGCATTAGCTTGTCTTGGACCTGAATAGGTGTCATGTCGTTGACTTATAATTATTATCTTTTGAATAATACCATTTGTTGGTAGTTCAGTTGCATCTATATAGTTTATGATGGGGGCATGTGGTTTTCTCTTATGTGATTATTATAATTTCTTTTCTATAAGTGTTTTCTCTGGCTCATTGATGCGTTGAGCTTATTGGTAATCATTTAAGATATATATATATTGAACATCGGTACATTACTCTTAACATTGTGAGAGAAATATAATTGTACTCTAAGGACTATCAAAATGGCGGCAGGTTCAGCTGGTCCAGACAAAACAATTTGTCTAGTCTATATTTTTAAACCATTCATAATATGTGGTCTATTTATATTAAGTTAATATACTAATAAACTAATTTTGACTGAATTAAAATTTATTTTTTTAAACTAATTTATATCAAAATAATTAATTAAAAAATATTTAAAAATAAATAAATAAATAAATTTTTAAAATTTAAATTATATTAATAAAAATAATTTTTATTTTAAATATAACAATTTAATATATAAATTATAAGTAAATAAATATATTTTATTCTAAAATAGGATTAAAAATTTCATCTTTATTATTATCATTTATTTTTTTAGTGATTTAAAATAGTAATTTATTTTAATTATTAAATTGTAAATTGAGTGGATGTTACGATATTTTCTTATTATATTCATTGAATATTTATCAAATTAATTTTTAATATATATATATATATATATATATATAAAATAATATTATTTTTATTTTTATTTAGAAAATATTGATTATTTTGTAAAATTGGTTGATCGAATGGACCATCTCTTATACTTTTGGGATCAACATATCCAGATAAGTCTGTTTTAATATTTCTTATTGTGATTCATTAAGATGATAAAATAGATTAGGTTTAATCCGTTACTCTGTCTTAAAAGTAATATTATGGATTAATAGTTTTAGTCTGTCATTTTGATCCATTCTGAACTAAGAGTGAGACAAGGTGGGTTAGCTTGCTTTAAAATAATATTTATATATTAAAATATATATATATATATATATATTATAATTAAAAATATTACATTTTTGGTGTTATGTTATTCAAATATATAATATACTCTAATATTATATTTTAAATTATAAAAATTAATTCATTAAGTTTAAATTATTAATTATAATTAGTTATTTTAATTAATGATAATAAAACAGGTTAGATTCGACGGACTTACCCTTTAGTCCGCCTAAAAGTTGGTAGGGCGTGTTTGTAGTTTTAGTCTATTAACCCGTTTTGGTTTGTCCCGTTAAACCCATCAATTCAGCGAGTCAAAGACAAGTAGGTGACTCGTTATAAAAAGTATTTATGTATTAAAACTAAAATAAAAAAATTATAATTAAAAATATTATATTTTTTGTGTAATATTATTAAAATATATAAATATATTATAATAATATAATTTAAATTATAAGAATTAATTAATTAAATTTAAATTATTGATTATAATTAACTATTTTGATATATAAATATAATATTTTTTCAATTTATCTAATAAAAATATTAATTAATAAATAAAATATTTAAAACTATTCATATAATTAAATATATATTTTAAAAAAATACATATAAAAAATTTCATTTTTTGTAAGAAAAATATTGGCGGCCCACCCTTTAGTGGGATGGGTTGAGGTTTGTGATCTATTTTGACTATTATAAGTTAGAGTTTGTGGTTCATCTTAACTATAGGTTAGGATAGACCAAAATGAAACGAATTAATTTATTTTATCATCCCTAATTTTAATATATAAATATAGTAATATTTTTAATTTATCTAATAAAAATATTACTTAACAAATAAAAACTTAAAAAATATTCATATAATTAAAAACGTATTAACAAAATAAATATAAACTGATAAAATAAAAATTATTCACGGTCAATACGTACTTTTATAAGATGAGTTGAGATTTATAATCTGTTATAACTATGACCAGATTAGTCTAAATTGTCTTGTTTTTTATTTTGCTAAAAACAGGACAAGTCAACTTGAATTGATTTCTTTTATCATACTCTATGAATTGAGTATTTGGGAAAAGGTTTTGTTAAAGGTGGTTAGTTGGATTTTTGTGAAAGATTAGTTATCTATTAAAGGAGGGTTAGTTGAATTTTTTTTATAACAATTAGTTACTTATAAAATTTTGATGGATATTTTATTCCAATGATTTCAATGAAATTATAATTAATAACATGTACAAATTATGAAATTAAGTTGTAAAAATTAGACCGAATGTATCTTATAAATAAATTCAGGTTTGTTCTAAGTTTAATCAACTGTAAGTTGTTCTAAAGTAGACCGATGTACAAGTTTAATAGTAATATCTCAAAAGTTGAACTCAATAAACCACACAAGTGATACCAGTAATGCAATAGTATCATGAATTGGCCACTGTCATCTGATATAGATATCAGAAAGCCATAAAGATTGACAGAAGAGTAAATGGCGGCATCAACATTAATTTTGGGAGTACCATTTGGTGGCTTGATCCATGATATACGTGAAGAAGATGTTGGAACATGAGAACGATGGTAACGCTTCTTATTCACCCCTTGCCAGAAAATCAATGAATCAGAGGAAAGTTTCCATGCAACCTGTGGTGGTTGGTTTAGTTTCAGTTCCCCGTATAACTTCATTCTATTATATAGAATCTTAGTTAATCTTATATAACATGATGCATTCTCCACATTCAATCTATTTTTTATGTTATGTTTGTGGAGTAAGCAAAACTCACATAACTTTTTTGTATAATTAAATATTATAATTAATATATTTTAAAAATAGCAAATAAATAACATTTGATCTCATATACACATATAGTTATTTCAACTTCTTAATATATAATAGAAATGAACTATTGTATGAATTAATCTCATTATATTAATAGATTTATTTATTTATTAAATCCCTACAAACCTTGATGTATTTCAATTCAACTCGTTCAACAGAAGTTTGAAAGAAAAAGTTAGCCACCAAAAGAGGGCTGACTACGAGATATAAAAAAACTGGGTTGACTGATTTAGCGCAACAAACGGTGTCGTTTGATTGAGCGGGCACGTCTTGGAGGCAACGTCCTCTACGGCACCTCCTCGTTGGTGGTTAAGTCGATGTCCTTTCACCCCCTCGACGAGTCCGCCAACCTCACCAACCCAAAAATCCTTGTTCCACTACTCTCACCAAACTCAACATCATAGCAATGGCTACATTTGAATGAAAAAAATTATGTAATTACTTAATAAAAATGATGTATAATTGTTTTTAAGTAAAGATAGTACAATTAGGATTTTATTAAATAATAAAATTATCTAATTAAAAAAAGTAAAACTCTATCAATCAAGTTATAAATAATAATTAATAAATATCAACAGCAACATATCTAGATTTATATCGACAGACACTTTGCTGCTCGGAGACACGGTCGAATACTCCAATACTCAAAACACCACCCTCACCAACCCTTGCTTTCTAATGGAGTCGGCTGCTCTTTCGCGCATAGGCCTGGCGGGCCTGGCCGTGATGGGCCAGAACCTTGCCCTAAACATCGCGGAGAAGGGCTTTCCCATCTCCGTCTACAACCGTACGGCCTCCAAAGTCGACGAGACAGTAGATCGGGCCCACAACGAGGGTTCCCTTCCGCTCACCGGCCAATACACTCCTCGCGACTTCGTCCTGTCCCTGCAACGTCCCAGATCCGTCATCATCCTCGTCAAGGCCGGTGCCCCCGTCGACCAAACCATTGCGGCTCTCTCCGACCACCTCGAGCCCGGCGACTGCATCATCGACGGCGGCAACGAGTGGTACGAGAACACGGAACGCCGCATGAGCCACGTCGCCGAGAAAGGCCTCCTCTACCTCGGCATGGGCGTCTCTGGTGGCGAAGACGGCGCGCGCCATGGCCCATCCCTCATGCCCGGCGGCTCCCACACTGCCTACACTAACGTCCAGGATATCCTCCACAAAATCGCCGCGCAGGTCGAGGATGGCCCCTGCGTCACCTACATCGGCGAGGGAGGCTCTGGAAACTTCGTGAAGATGGTCCACAACGGAATCGAATACGGAGATATGCAACTCATCTCGGAGGCTTACGACGTGTTGAAACACGTCGGTGGCTTGTCGAATTCTGAGCTTGCGGATATCTTCGCAGAGTGGAACAGAGGGGAGCTTGAGAGTTTCTTGATTGAAATCACTGCGGATATTTTTAAAGTGAAGGATGAGGATGGTGAAGGGTTTTTGGTGGATAAGATTTTGGACAAGACAGGGATGAAGGGGACTGGGAAATGGACGGTGCAGCAGGCGGCGGAGCTATCGATAGCGGCACCGACGATTGCGGCGTCGTTGGATTGCCGGTACTTGAGTGGGTTGAAGGAAGAGAGGGAGAGTGCCGCGACGGTGTTGAAGGAGGCGGGGTTGACTGATGATTTAGGGAGAATTGGTGTGAGTGGAGTGGATAAAAAGAGGTTGATTGATGATGTGAGACAGGCTTTGTATGCTTCAAAGATTTGTAGCTATGCTCAGGGGATGAATTTGTTGAGGGCCAAGAGTAATGAGAAAGGTTGGAACTTGAATTTGGGGGAATTGGCTAGAATTTGGAAGGGAGGGTGCATCATAAGGGCAGTGTTCTTGGACAGGATCAAGAAAGCTTATCAAAGGAACCCTAATTTGGCTAGTTTGATAGTGGACCCGGAGTTTGCAAGGGAAATGGTTCAGAGGCAGGCTGCGTGGAGACGGGTGGTGGGGTTGGCGGTTTCGGCTGGGATTAGCACTCCCGGAATGTGTGCTAGTCTTGCTTACTTTGATACCTATAGGAGGGCGAGACTTCCGGCGAACCTTGTTCAGGCTCAGAGGGACTTGTTTGGGGCGCACACTTATGAGAGGGTTGATCGCCCTGGGGCTTTCCATACTGAGTGGACAAAGCTTGCACGCAAAAGTGGGACTGGAGTTGGTGCTCTCAATTGATGATGAGTTTTGGTCCTGCGGTGCAGCATTTGAGTTGTAATTGTTTGTTTATTTAAGGATCTTTGGTAGGCAGAGCAACTATTGTTTTCTTGCTATAACTACTATTGCTCTTAATAAAACGAAAGCATGTCATTTGGCTTCTGCTGGCTTTTTCTTGTTGATGTTCTTGTATCGTGTGTATTTGTTTTGAAATTAGAGTTATAATTGCTTTTTTAGATTTTATCCTCTAAAGTGAGGAAGGTTAAAGTAGGCAATCTAGTTCATGATTTATTTTATGGAAGTGCATGTGATGCTGTTTGTGAATTTTATCATAAATGACTCAGATTGTTGCTTGCTTTATTCTTGGAAGTATCACTTTTCAAGTAATTGATCCTTGCATTTTATATTTTATGTAAAATATATTCAAGAGTTTCTTGACAAAATATGATGAGAATCGTGTTAGACTCCTGTAAAGTGAGGAGTGTTTTTAGAATGTTGAAGTAATAAGAAAATTAATGGTTGATATTTCTATACATTCATGATTTCTTATGCAAGCGATATACTTATTTTTTGTGTAACCAGGGGTATCTAAACTTCTATTTACTTGGGCAATCTCTCTTTCCCATGATTGGTCCATTTTGGAATACAATTGTACTTTTAGTTGCTATTTCACATTTAAGGCGGAGATTGGATCCAAACCTTGGTTAAGGAACCTAATCACCAAACCATTTATACATTTGATGTTGATGGTTGATTGAAATTGCCACTTTACTCTATAGAAAGAGATAGATGCTCACGGTAGAGAAGCCTGATCCTTGCATTTTGTTTTGAACAAATTCATGAATATCTTGACAAAATATGATGAGAATGGTGTTGAAGATTTATGTATCTAATCAAACTGTGGTAGGAACATCCTATAAAGCTTAAATGTATCATAGGTTCCTGTGCACTTTGCGTTTAGGTGATTTTGGTGTATATGCTGAAGAATTTCCTCTTGTCCTCCTTTTGTATCTTACTTGCTTGTGCACCTGTAAGGTTTGGTGCTTCTTGTCGGTGCCTTGATAACCAAGTTTTTATTTTTACCTTTTGGTAAATGAAAAGCGTGCTTTATAGGCTGTTGTTTAGCTGGTTTTTCTTTGGGCAACCTTCTGGAGGTAGGACTCAGAAATGCTTTTTGATATTGTTTCTTTTGTTGTTTACGCAACTTTTTTTTGCTTCAGTTTATTAAATTTAATGCTAAACTTTTCAGTTGTACGAGACTAAATAACAAATTCAAATTGCTTCATGCCATTGAGAAACCCCTCGCAGAAAATATTCCATGGTACAAGATAGTTAAAAGACTAACAAGATTTTTCATTCTTGATGTATCTACAAAACTATTCCTTCATTTGCAGCAGTCAAAATAATGCTTTGTTCATTTCACAGAACGAACGAACTTTCTTTGTTATACATTCATTGACGAAAGAGTATTAGGTAAGTAAAAAGGGTAATTGGGGAAAAGATTCCAAGGGGAAGATGCAGTGAACTAAAGAACACCGCTCTCAAGAACTGGCTGAGTTCTTGTCACTGCTGCTGAGGGCATTTTACTATTGCCAACCCATCTACTTTCAAGAACCTGATCTTCATTAGCTTGTTTTTCCATGGCTTGAATCCTCTTGGTCTGGAGAAGTCTCATAGAAGAAAACCCCGCATAACCAACTATAATCAAACCAAAAAATCCAACCACAAAGCCAATCACCCACAGATACCATCTTCTCCTCTTCTTCTCTAATGGAAGCACTACTGAAAAGTGACCCTGGTCTCTTGAGTAACACACTCCTGGGGAACTCATCTCAGTAAGTTGAAATGTTCCATTGGCATTGAAAGCTACACATCTCACCCTTGAGTTGATGCGACCCCTACCCATAAATGTGATGTTGGGAAATTGAATAGATATAGGCTGCCCCATTGTGTTGAGGGTGAGGTTTCTCTCACTTATGTCCGTTACATTTGAGGCATCAAAAACCAGGAAGCCAACAACAGAAGAGATGAGCAAGTAACCTGGCAAATTGTAGTAGTGTGTAGACCAGTTGCCCAAGTTTTGGTACACAATTGCCAACCTCCTGACATGGGGAATGGACATGGTTCTTGGTGGGATCCGAAAGTAGCTAAAGTTGGCACCTTTGTTCCAGAGCCTTCTGCTTCTAAGACGTACGACTGAAACATCCATACCAGACAGGTTCCTTGGAAGAAGGGCATCGTACAGAGCACCAGTTTGAGGCCTGTGCTTGACCAGTGACCTGAAAACAAAATCTTGAACCAAGGAATTCAATGATTCACTCGCAGGAGTGTTGTCCAAGCTGTGCACCAAGGAGCAGCAACACAGGGTGAGAAGCAGCACCCAGATGAAATTCCAGTTCATGTTGTATCCCATTAACACTTCAAACAAAGAACAACGGAGACAAGTTTAAGGAATGGAAATGTGGCGATCTGTGTTAGGTCTTGTTGAGTTCATTGTTTAATATAGAGCTTGTTGTATATGTAAATATAGTAAGCACCAAGTCCAATGATGGTTACTTTCCACAAAGAAGAAGCATGCTCAGGTTTGGGTCCCAACTACTGACTCCAGAGGGAAGAAAGGCTCCAAAAGTCGCAATTGACTAGGGGCATTCTGATTCCATTTTTTGACATCAGCGGCCAAATGGGTTTGTGCCAGTGAGAGAATCTTTATTACTACAATGCCAGCAGCAACTTTAGCATGCGTTGATGGCTCAATCTCTCCCCCTTTATAGGAGGCAAATCCAGAAAATGGAAATGATGAGAAAATACCCTAATTTAGGCCCATCAAGCCATTAAGCGATAGCCACCTTCTTCCTGCACTCCCATAATTTGTTTCTACATCCCCATTCCTTCTAATAATTTTTGTTTCAAACCTTAACCACTTTTTCTATTTTCCTACAAAAGTTACACACTTCCATTGCTCATCTTCTATAAACTCTATAGATCTACAGATTTAGTTTATTGTATCATCACTTCCATTTAAGATGATTTTTAACACTAGTGAATAATTGCTAATATTATATATTTATTACATGTTTTTCCACTAAAATTATATATTAAGATCTAAATTGTTCGATTAAAAATAATTTTGTTAAAATCAGATTGAGATTCGGAATACCCAATTTGAAATATATTTTCATATTAGCTTTTTCAAAAATACATTCCAATATATATTTCTAGAAATTGGATTGGGTATTCCAGAATACATTTCTAGAAAAGTTAATTTAAAAATATTGTGAAAAAAAAATCCAAAAACATATTTTGAAAAGTGATTTTGGAATTCATTTCCAAAATTAATTTTTCGAAAAATTCATTTCCTGGAACATGTTTACAAATTTTTTTGTTCAAACTGCATACCCAATTCCCGAAATGGGTTTCCAGAAAAAAAAAATTGTTGTGTAAATACTGTACGTAGAAAAAATTGATACAAATAAAAAATAGTTAGAGATTCTTACTTGTTTCTTACCATTCATAAAATAATAGGAGAAGAAAAAATAAAAATATTTTAATAGAATTTAAAAATCAGAATTCAAATATTTTAATATAGAAAATAAGCATTTATGAAGATGAAAGTAGATGTAAGGATGAAATAGAATTTAATTTGATTATGAAAATGTAGGAAGAAAAGAGCGGAAGAAAGTCCCTAAGTGATATCTTCAGGCTAATGAATCATTTATTTAGGCCAAGATACCCAGCCCACAAAAAAGTAGTAACATCGAAGGAACTAGAATGCAGACCTAGCAAAAGGTTCAAGATGTGAGAGTTTGGCCAGAAATTTCATGACACTTTTAAAAAATAAATCAGTTCTTCAGAAGTTTTATGTAAAAAGTTAATTTTAGAAACTATTTTTTAACTTCTTTTAAAATTTAATTTTTAACTTGTAAAAAGCTGCCTTTCATTTTTTATTCTTCTTATTTATCTATTAAAAAACTTAATTTTAAGATACACATACAAGAAGAATAAACATACTTCAATATTTGAAGGGAGGGTTTTATTGTCTATAATGATTTTTTTTGGGTTCAAAACATTTTCTCAATTAGTTGTGATCTATAAAAACAAATGTTGATATCAAAAGCTTTATGTTACTCTAAAAGTGACTAATGAATCAATCAAACTAAACTGCCTCAATTATTAATCTTTTTCTTTAGTTTATTTCTTCCTTGTGGAGCCACGAATTAAAATTTCGTAGAAAATCTATTTTCATCACTCAATTATCAATTCAATCATAAAAATCATAATATTTTTAACATTTTACATCATCATATCATAAATATTCAAATGCTAAAAAGAGGTCAAACTATACCAATACCAAGCACAATTTATATTTTATTTTTTCTCCTTTATTCCTCCCCACTTTTATATTACATTTATAATTTTATTTTTCAAAATATAAAATTAAATTCAGGAACTAATTTTTGAAATTAAAAAGGTGTGAAGGGAAAAAACAATGCTAAAATTGTCAGACTTTATACCTTGGTGCCAGAGATGGTTTGGGCTTGCGTTATTCTTTAATTAAAAGATGGTGCCAATGTCAATGGAACAACAATTGCTAAATACACTATCCATCTTTACCTCTACACACCCCTTTTCTTTTCTGTTTAATTTGATTTCAAACATGCCCTTGTTTTGAACTTCTTTGATCTTCCTAACACAATGTTCCTTCTTCGTACATATTCACAAACATTCCCTTTTCTTTATTTTCCCAGAGTGTAAATAAAAAATTATTAACATTTTACATTTCACTATATATTTCTATTAAATGGTTTACATACATTTCCATGTACTATTCCTTCCTCTTTGAAAGATTTTAATTGGTTGTAGTGTGTGATTGCTTGATTTTATCAAGATAATTCGCGTGAATCATATATAGACAAAATTAAACCGAAGTGAAAGCTTTGCTTTATAATTCATAGGCATTTACTTTGGATTTTGTACCCCTGTTGTTGAAGATGAAATCGTAGCTGGTGGTATTGGGTGCAACTTCATTTCTGGAGACCTTCTTGAAGCTACAAGCATGGATGATGCAATGAGTGTCAAATTTTGCATCCTTTTACTTTCCATATCAGTGAATTCACAAGTTTAATGTTTTCTTATTATGTTCTTATTTCATTAGAGGATCCAATAGTCAGACGTTTCTATGGGACATTCTTATAACCTGATAAAAATAAGTAAGCGCAGGATTTTTAACGTTGAAACTGCATCTAGGAAGATGATTTCAGTTCATGAGGTGGGAAAAACACCTTTCTTCCATGCCAATATGTACCTCCACCTACCTATTAATCAGGAAAGTGATATAGAATATTGTTTTGCATTTGTTTGATTCAGACCACTGCATACCAAATCACATGAGCATGTTTTGTTGCTTAGAAGTGTCCCAATTTAATTCACCTCATCAATCAAATAATTGAACGGTTGATATCATAAAAAAAATCCATGAGTGAAACAAATAAGATATATATAATTCCGTAGAATAAAAGAGAAAGAATTTGTCAAAACTAAAAATAATACAAAACAGGAAAAATAAGATTTGTTATAGAAAAATAATTATATTAATACTTCTCCTCAAGTTGGATGGTGGTGTTACAAAGTATTCGCCAGTTGGTTGGAAGACGAAACAACAAAAAGATGAATTAAGTCTTGTTGAATTTTTTCACGAACCACATGATAATTGATCTTGATGTATTTAGTGCGCTCATGAAATATAGGATTATGAGTTAAGTAAAGAGTGATTGTCATAATAGACTGCAGTAAGACCCAATAAAACATGAAGATCATGAAAAAATAATGTAACCATTAAATCTCATAAGTGAAGTTGACTAATGCTCAATATTCTGCTTCGGAGGATGAACGAGAGACAGTAGATTGCTTCTTGGATTTCTAGGAAATCAAGGAAGAACTAAGAAAAACACAAAATTTGGAGGATGAACGAGAGACAGTAGATTGCTCAATATCGAAGCTTAATTGGAAGTCTGAGATACCTTACAAGCACAAGACCCGACCTAATGCTAAGTGTTGGGATAACGAGCAGATACATGGAGAATCCAAGTTACACACATTGGAAGCCCTTAAAGAGAATTCTGAGATATGTTTGAGGAACCTTATCACTTTGTCTATTCTATTCAAAATCGGATGACTACTGACTAGTGGGTTACTCGGATAGTGATTGGTGTGGTGATGTTGATGACCGAAAAAGTACTTCAGTATGTGTTCCTACTCAGAAAAATAACTTTTACTTGGCTGTCAAAGAAGCAACCCATTGTAACTCTGTCAACCTGTGAGGCTGGGTATGTGACGGCCTCTTAGAGTGTGTATCATGCAATTTGACTTTCAAATTTACTAAGGCATCTGAGAGTGATCTAAGACGAAAGGACTATAATTCAAGTTGACAACAAGTCAGTGATCGAGTTGGCAAAGAACCCGGTTAATCATGGAAGGAGCAAACACATCGACGTTCAATTTCATTTCATCCGAGAACAAGTTAGAGAAGAAAAAGTTAAGCTGGAGCATGTTGAAAGTCGAGTTTAAGCTGCTAACATATTCACCAAACCATTGCCAACTACACTGCTGGAGAGTTGTAAAAGACTTATTAGAATAAGAGATGGGAAGAGTATTTAAGTTAAGGGGAAGATTTATTGTAAAACTTAAATTAGACGTTTAGTATTCCTAGAATAATATTAATGGTTTTAATTATGAGTGGTATAATCAATGGGTTATAAACCTATTTAATAGGTATTATGATTTACGTTTGGTATTTGAAGAGACAAATATTTTGACCATAAATAATTGTAATAACTCATTTGAAATTGTATAAGAAGAAGAATTGATAGCGTTGTTTTGTTTTACCATGGAATTCCATGGGTTCAGTCCGTGCCCCATCCTCTTATACTTTCCTCTTTCCCTTGTTTAAATGTCCTTTTTCAATCTTTTGTAATGCTATATTTATAGACTACCGTCTATGCATGAGTATGTGGAGTTGGCATATAATATATGGGTTGTGTTACAGTGTTTGCTAAGACTGAAAGAACCTTGTGTTATTATTGAGATGTCGGAAAGATGACCTGCACTTGGTAGAGAATGTGCTGGATTCAGCTGCACAGGAGTATGCTGATAAAGCAAATGTTGATCCCCCAGAGATCGTTGTTGTCAACCGAATCTATCTTCCACCCAGACCAAGTCATCACAATTATCATGATATCTATTGGTAATCTTCTTGTTATAATGAAATCTTAACTAACTGTATGCCCCAACCAATCAGATCCTTTCTCTCTTACCCGATGCTTTACCCTCTTTTCTCTTGATTGACATTATCTTGATTTTTTTATTAGTGTTTGTAGTTGATTGAGGATGCTTCCTCAAATCATATTAGCTGCTATTGATTTTTAAATTTCAGTTGTTGCACACCTGATTATTTTTTGTTAATATTCAGTTCTGGTGCAGTGGTGTTGGCTTCTCATGATGGAAAGATTGTGTGTGAAAATACTCTTGATCCACGACTCGATGTAGTGTTCCGTAAAAAGCTTCCAGAGGTAAATATTTTGTGCATAGCAATTCTTATTCTGTTGTTTGCAGCCTCTTGTTTAGATATTTGCTACTTATATTGACATTCATATAATTTCCAACTAGTAGAAGGCGGATGTTTTCTAGATATTGTAACTTTGACATTGAAATATAAAATACTTCAGATGTATAGCACACTCTTATGGACGACTAGGACAATCAATGGAATGAATGTATGTGTGAAAAGCTGGGCTGGGTTCAGAATATTTGGTGTTTAGGCATATTTATATTTGAGCCCTGGTTTCATATAATCCATCAATTCCAATTTTCTTCTTAAAGATTTGGGATGCATTGTCATTCTAACATTTTTCAAGAGACAATACGCAATTCATTTAAGACAACTTATAACATCGTTAATCTATATTAGGGTCGGTCTGCCCAATAGTTGTAAGAAACTTCATTCAGTGGTCGCAAATAATTACAGTAGTTTCAATATACTTTTGTCAGAAATTATGTATTTGGGGAAAATTCTAATCTTTTGATATTATTCCGTTCTTCTAGTAAGACATTGATTTCTTGTGTTATTTCTTTCAATATTTGGAATTAAAAAAAAAAAGAGTAAAGATTATCAATATCTACAAACTTTTGTAAACCTCTTAAAGTTTTGAACAACATTAGAACTCATGTGATCGCTTCAAATATTCACTTATCTTCAAATGAACATGAAACATAAGACTATCATGAACTAAAACAAGATGATGACAAATTAACGTTAGAATTTTGGGTACTTAAGAAAAGTTGGAAATAAGTAGTTTTCGAGAAAAAATAATGACACATTTGTTAATGGATAGAGATATTAGATTAGAATTTATGCTAAGTATAAAGACAATATTACTTTTATTGACTGTTTTTTGTGTACATATTTTTTTGTACAATTTTATCCTTATTATGATAGTATTTCGATTACTGATTTTTATTGTAACTACTGTTGTAGTAACTATTTGTTTATTGTGGTAACTGTTTTTATATAGTGATAACATTTTTTTTTATTACGTAATAAAATGTGGACACGTACAGGGACAACATTGTCTGGTGTAATTAATAATAGAAGAAAAGAGGGTGATACATGAAAAGCTTGTACATATAACAACAATTTAGATATAAAATTAAGAATACAGTTATATTATTATGTTGAGGAAGGAGGAATCCGGGTATGAATGTCGGATTAAGGGTTGCTATTGAGCGAGGAAAAAGAACCAAGTTCTTCAATTAAAATTCTTAAGTTGGAGCTTTTGTTCTCACTCAATTAGCATTTATAATTCACATCCTTTCTCAAGATGCGTATTTTCTTTGGTAGTTAATATTCACTTCATTCCGCAATATTATATACAATTTTTATTCATGCATTTGATTTGGTGTTAAAAAACCAATAACTGTTTTTTTTTTCCTTTATATTTATGTACCTTTCTATTTGCTAGACTTGTCCAAGATATTATTTTCACTAGTTGTTCCTACTACTTTCTTACTCCTTTCCAAACATAATATACTGTATTGCCATTCTTAATCCATTACTGGCCAACTGTTGTGATAGTCACTCGTTGATTTCTTGTCTTTTCAATTTTATTAGGAAAGGAGAGGGGGTAATTATTTTCATGTAATTATTTGCTTAATCATGTCTAATGACTAGATTCTCATTAAATTTATTTTCTTGTTGCAGATCCGAAAGCAGCTCTTTGGACAAGTTGTTGCTTGAAGATTTTGCTTGTATTGTTTCGTTGCCCCTGGAATATTTGTATTCTGAAGCAAAAACTTGCCTTTGACCTATTCCTTGTTGGTAACTGGAAAACAAAACAACGTTTTCAATTTTTCTCATAATACAATTTCAAATGAATTGTTACAATTATTTATGGTAAAAATATTTGCCTCTTCAAATACCAAACATAAATCATAATACCTATTAAATAGGTTTATAACCTATTAGTTATACCACCCGTAATTAAAAATATTAATATTATTATAGGAATATTAAAAGTCTAATTTAAGTTTTACAATAAATCTGCCCCTTAAACTTAAATACTCTTCTTATCTCTTATTCCAATAAGTCTTTTACAACTCTTCGACAGTGTAGTTGGCAGTGGTTTGGTGAATATGTTAGCGAGCTTGAGCTCGACTTTCAATATGTTCCAACTCAACCTTTCCTTCTCTTCTAACTTGTTCTCGGATGAAATGAAATCGGACGTCAATGTGCTTGTTCCTTCCATGATTAACCGGGTTCTTTGTCAACTCGATCGCTGACTTGTTGTCAACTCGAATTACAGTCCTTTCGTCTTGGATCACTCCCAGATGCCTTAGTAAATTTGAAAGTCAAACTGCATGACACACACTCCAAGAGGCCGCTACATACTCAGCCTCACAGGTTGACAGAGTTACAATGGGTTGCTTCTTTGACAGCCAAGTAAAAGTTGTTTTTCCGAGTAGGAACACATAACCTGAAGTACTTTTTCGGTCATCAACATCACCACACCAATCACTATCTGAGTAACCCACTAGTCGATAGTCATCCGATTTTGAATAGAATAGACCAAGTGATAAGGTTCCTTGAACATATCTCAGAATTCTCTTTAAGGCTTTCCAATGTGTGTAACTTGGATTCTCCATGTATATGCTTGTTATCCCAACACTCAACATTAGATCGGGTCTTGTGCTTGTAAGGTATCTCAGACTTCCGATTAAGCTTCTATATCTCCCAGAATCAGCTCGTTCTCCTCCATCAAACTTTGAGAGTTTAGTGCCCGGTTCCATTGGAGTAGAAACCGGGTTACAGTCCTTCATTTTAAATTTCTTTAAAATTTCAAGTGCGTACCTCTCTTGGGATATAAAAATTTCTTCCTCTGACTACTTCACTTCTAGGCCAAGAAAATATTTCATCAGTCCTAAGTCTGTCATTTCAAACTCTTTCTTCATTACCTCCTTGAACTCCTTAATTAGCTTCGTGTTGCTTCCAGTGAATATGAGATCGTCGACATAAAGATCGACAACCATCATATCCTTTTTTTATTTCTTTGTGTACAAAGCATGCTCATATGGACATTATTCATACCCATTTTTCTTGAAATATCCATCAATTCTCTCATTCTAGGCACGAGGAGTCTGCTTCAGCCCATAGAGAGTTTTTCTTAATCTCAGTACCTTTTTCTCATCCCCTCTCTTCATGTACCCGAGTGGTTGCTCAACATACACCTCTTCCTTCAGCACTCCATTTAGAAATGCTGACTTCACATCCATCTGTAGAATCTGCCATTGATTCTGAGCAGCTAATGAGATTAGAAGTCGGATTGACTCCATTCTCGTGACAGGAGCAAATACTTCATCATAGTCAATTTCCTCCTTTTGTTTATAACCCTTCACCACAAGTTGAGTCTTGTAACGTTCAACCTCTCCCTCAACATTCATCTTATTTTTTACACCCATTTTACTCCAATGGGTTGAGCTCTTTTAGGAAGGTCAGTCAGTTCCCAAGTTTTGTTGCGTTCAATCGCTCCAATCTCCTCATCCATGGCTGTTCTCCACTTCTCATCTTGGACAGCTTTCTCAAAACTCAAGTCTTCAGAGTCAGCCAAAAGACATACAACATGAACTTCATTTGTAGTGTCGTATATTTCCTGCAGACTTCTCATCTCAGGCTGTTGTGGCTCTATTTCTTTATCTGAGGACTCAATGGTTGTTATTGTTGAAGGCAAAACAATTTCTGAACTAGTTTCTTCTTCTGTCGGGTTACTTCAGCACCAATGCTTTGTTTCTTCCACAAGAACATCTCGACTTACCACCACTTTATTATTAACAGGATCAAACAATTTATACGCTTTAGATTTTCCATCATACCCGATAAATACGTACTTCTTACTCCGATCTTCTAATTTAGTCCTGTGTTGACTTGGTACTTGCCCATAAACCACGCTACCAAACACCTTTAGATGAGAGACACTTGACTTCATACCACTTCATATCTCCTGAGGCGTCTTCTCTCCTAGCTTTGCATGTGGATATCTATTTTGCAAATAGACTGCGCATTGACCGCCTCTGCCCAAAACTTCTTTGACATATTCTTCCCTTTCAACATAGATCGAACCATATCAAGAATGATTCGATTCTTTCGTTCCGCTACACTGTTTTGCTGCGGAGAATATGGGACAGTCAGGAAACGTTTAATCTCATGTTCCTCACAGTATTTGTTGAACTCAGTAGAAGTGAACTCGCCTCCTTTGTCAGATCGGATTGCTTTGATGACTTTGTTTGTTTTTTTCTCCACCATAACTTTGAATTTCTTGAAAGTTTCAAACACTTCTGACTTCTCCTTCAGAAAATAAATCCATGTTTTCCTTGAAAAATCATCAATGAAAGAGACGAAGTACCTCTTACCACTGAAAGATTCTGGAGTTATTGACCCACACAAATCAGTATGGATCGCTCCGAGTTACTGCTTTGCTCGACACTCAGAACTTCTTGGGAAAGAAGTTCTTGCTTGCTTCCCAATCACACATTCTTCATAGAACCTTTTTTCGAATTCCATTTTAGGCAATTCGAGCACCATCTCCTTTTTCACCAGCGCAGTCAACCCACCAAAATGAAGATGACCAAACCGCAAATGCCACTTCATGGCCTCATCCTCCATATCAAATTGCATACATTTATCTTGAACTGTTTTCAGCTCAAGTTTGTACATGCAATTTTTCTTCATTCCCACCAGAGCAACAAGCCTCCCTAATTTATCCTTCAGTTGTAGTTCTCGATCCTTCATCAAAACCGAGTACCCCTTCTCCATTAACTGTCCCATGCTCAATATGTTACTTTTGAGATCAGGTACGTAGTATACATCTCTGATCTCTCCGATTTGCCCATTTCTCTGTTGATACCATATCGTTCCTTGACCTTTGACAGCTACTTTTGAAGCATCACCGAAAGAAACAGAACCGGACTCCACCTTTGAAAGTATCTTGAATAAACGCTCATCACCACACATGTGGTTACTAGCGCCGGTGTCTAAGTACCAAACCGAGTTATTAGAACAGTTCGGTTTGATCATAGTTTCTGAAGTGTTTGTCACCATCAGCAATCCTTCATCTTTTTCCTCAACAAGAAAGTTTGTTGGTTCCTCCTTTTTTCTTCTCAGACCTACAATCTTTGGAAATATGACCAAGTTTTTCATAATTATAGCATTTTACGGAGTAACAGTCCTTGGCAACATGCCCATTCTTTCCACAATTATAGCATTTTACCGTGTAACAATCCTTTGCAATATGCTCATTCTTCCCACAATTATAGCATTCAATATTGTTTGTTTTTGTCCGGCCACCCCGAGCCTGTCCTTGGCCACGCCAGTTCTATTGACCGTCTTGCTCATTTCCTCGTCCTCCTTTTCCTCTACCACCACAACCTCTGCCTTTTCCTCGGCCTCTGGTACTCTGAACATAGAGCACCTTCTCCTCTTTTATTGTCGCCTTTGCCTGGAGTTCCTGTTCAAGGGACTCCCCCTTCTTGTTTTTCATTCTCTGCTCATGCGCTTCTAGCGACCCAGCAAGCTCTTTAAGGGTGAGCATTGACAAATCCTTGGACTCCTCTATTGCGCACACGATGTTCTCGAAATCATCTGTCAATGATCTCAAGATTTTTTCAACAACTCGGTTTGATGAAAGACTCTCACCATTCTGATTCAGCTTGTTCACCACAGTCTCCACCCGAGTAATGAACTCGGATACGCTTTCAGGCTCTTTCATCCTCATGTTTTCAAGCTCGTCCCTAAGGGTTTGAAGTTGAACTTGTTTCACCCTTTCATCTCCTTTGTTTGTTTTTTCAAGTGTATCCCATGCTACTTTGGAAGATTTTGCGTTAGCTATCTTCTCAAAGCCAGATTCGTCGACGGCTCGGTATAGTAGATACAGAGCCGCCTTGTCTTTAGCTCGAACGACCTTCAATGCGTTCAGCTGGGCATTTGAATACCCATCTGTGTTCGTCGGTTTCTCATACCCATTCTCGACCACATCCCAGTTATCTTGGGAGCCGAGAAGAGTCTTCATTTGTACCTTCCAGTTGTCATAGTTGGTGTCTTTCGTCAACTTGGGTAGCGGAATGTCATTGGTTAGACATGTCATTTCCTCTCAAGTGTTTGCACTCAACTCACACACCTCACAAAGCTTTAAGTTGGTCCTTTCACACCGCAACGTTCTCTCTTGAGGCTTGGTAGGTTCTCTCACACTCACCTCACGCACAAACTCTGATACCAATTTGTTGGTGACAAGAAAACAAAACAACGCTTTCAATTTTTCTCCTGATACAATTTTAAATGAATTGTTACAATTATTTATGGTCAAAATATTTGACTCTTCGAATGTCAAACATAAATCATAATACTTATTAAATAGATTTATAACTTATTAGTTATACACTCATAATTAAAATTATTAATATTATTTTAGGATTACTAAACGTCTTATTTTAGTTTTATAATATTCTTATCGTACCATTACTTATGTAAACATTAAGTAATTGTTCTGGCTCATTACCGCATTGAACATTGTTGACATTACTCTCAACATTGTGGCAGAGTGTGATGAGCATTGTGGCAGTGTGTGATGATGAGGATGTTGTCCACCATTACTGTCAAGCGAAAACGTTAATGGTGGTAGAGTATCATCTATAGTTGCCAAGCAAAGGTGATGATGGTTGGAAGGGTGTTGGTCATGGCTGTGAAGTGAAGGTAATGACGGTGAGAAGGAATTGTCTGTCTAGTGGTAAAATTTTGACAACCAATACACCCTTTCAACAATTAAAAAAAAATTAATATAATATTAAATAATATTATTATATTAATGTAATGGGGGTGTAAGATGATGTATGTAAGATGATGTATGGGTTGTAAAGGAACATTTCTTATTTTTAAGTTAGGTAAGATGAAATAAATAAGGTGGGAAAGAATGCTTCTGTCGAATTCTATTATGTCAGGAGTCTATAAATGTTACAAGAAATATGTTCCATAAATCTTCTTAAAAAAATTGTGGTAAAATTATAATGAAGTGAATATTCACTTTAGTATAAATAGGGATTATTTTAGTCTGATATAGTTCACCATGTAATCTTTAGAGTTGTGATTAACAGCTCAGAATAATATACAAAATACTGAACTAAAACAACTCAATCGAAAAACACAAATTACTGAAATAAATGGCACAATAATTACAAATAACCTATGTTAAATGATTTTGAATTAGAGAAAACAAATCATAATCTACCAAATTAATCCAACTAGTGACTGACGAATTAAGTTTCTGATTTTGATGAATTGAGTTATATGGATATTTTAAAATAAAATATAATTGCTACGGGATTTATTTTTGCTAAAAAACCTAATAACTGTTTTTAGTCTTTTTTTTTCAATTATATTTCTTTTATTCATAAGATTTGAATTGATATTTTACTTCAAAATAATGAAATAATATATTACTTAGCAACAATGAGGTGAACCACGTGAATGGATAGTTGTAGTCATATAACTTAATTTAATATATTTAGGACGAGTAAAATGGATTGATGGATTGGATTTATAACATTTTTTATTTTAAAACTAATTTTTATTTTTTTTTCATTTTAAGAAGTAAAAATGTTTTTAAAAGGTTACATATCCTCTCTTTTTTTCTAAAACGAAAAGTTTACGCTTAAACTAAATTATGTATTTTAAATTGTCAAAATGAAGGTGCATAAGGAAGAGGTGAGCTGGTGAGTGGATTATGGTAGTAAGAAGAAACGACAATTAAATTTGTATAATATGGATTGAATAGTTTATATTTAGAGTTTGATGAGAAATAAATGAGTTATTTAGATGTGAAAATGGGTTTAAGTTTTTATCGTTTTAAAAAATTGAGACAGAAGTGGGGATAGTAATACAATCTTGTCCCTATTTTAACTTTATATTTAAATTTAAATTTTAAAATATTAATATTTTAAAAGTATTTTTTTATTATATATAATGAAATTTTTTATATATTTTATTAATTTTATTTTTCTCACTTTTAATTTTGTTGTTTTTTTAATATTTTATATTAATTAGTTTATTACATTATTCTTTTTCTTCTACCTCTCAGTTTTTTACATTTCTTTAATGTCTCCAATCATTTTTTTTTCAATTTTCAAATAAACACAAAGTTAATTTTATTTTTTTTAACTTTTTCTAAATATTTTAAATAAATCATAATAGTAACTAATATTATTTTATTTATAATTTATATTTATTAAATTTTATTATATCATATTCTTTTATCTTATTATTTTTATATATTATATATTTAATTAAATAATTATATTTTAAAAAATTAAAAAAATTAATAATTTAAATTTTTATTAATTTGAACTAATTAAATAAGAATTAATTTATTAAATATTTTTTTATAAATTATATATTTTATATTTTTAAATGATAATTTATAAATAAATTAATTTTATAATAAAATATTTAAATATATTATTATTATAAATATTACTATTGAATATAATATTATAATAATAATATTATAAATATTTTATATTTAAAAAAATAATTAAATATTTTTTTACATATCTTTTTTTACATATATTTTAATATAAATATAATAAATTAAAATATATATTTAATTAATAATAATTATAAATTATAAATATTTATTTATATATAAAAATAATAAAATTAATTTATTATAAATATAATAATTGTGTTAAAAAATTAGGCGGACGCCCCTCCCGTTGCCATCCCTACCAGTGGGGCATCAAGTTCAATCATCGAAGAAGCTTTCGGTGTATCGCCTCCGAAAATGAACGACGCATATGTCTCTAGGCAAATCCAGCCGATGGTGCTGTTCATCCGCTAGGAAGCAGAGGAAAAAACCAATGAGATCTCTGTCTCCACCGAAGACGTATCTCTTCATTTCACCGTTTTCTTCTCCTTCGCTTTCCAATCCATGTCCTCAAACCAAATCGTCTTTTTCCTTCTGCAGGAATTCAACATCGAGAAGCTTCAGTTGGTCGAAGCTGAAAAGAAGAACATCAGGCAAGAGTACGAACGCAAATAACGCCAAGTCGAAATTCGCAAGATGTAACTTCCTATATACCTTTCTATCCTCTTTTTATGTTGATTTTATCTCTGTGAGTTCGAAATTCATTAGGATTTATCGTCCGTTGACATTGTTTGAAATTAAATTCTGGAGACTAAGTCCAACTCGCTTAGATCTTGATCCTTGGGTGTGATAATGCCGCAATGTCAATTGTCTGTGACAACCGATACCGCCAAAGTTTGATTTCTTATACCACCGGATTCAATGCATTTATTTTTTTCATTCAATCACTTATTCAGTGTATTTATAATTGAATTACTGTGAGTCTGTGATTCAGAACGAGTGTTTTAAGTACTACAATATGATCTGTCAGATCTTTATCGAACGGTTTTGATCCTTGTGGCCTTGTTGTACTATTCAGTAAAATAAAAAATTAATGTAGCCCCATTCAGGAAAGTTCTCAAAGTTTGAGTAATTGTTTGATTTACCGATTGAAGGGTTAAAAAAAATGAATTTAACTCAAAGGGATTAAAATTTTTTAATTTTCCTCAAAATGGTTAAAACGGGGAAAGAAAGACGAATTCACCTTTAAAATTGTGTTTTCAAACACAAGATTTTTTTTTTTTTTAAACGTGTTTTCAAGCATGATTTTTTTTGAATATATTATTTAATAAATAATTATTTTTAATTAAATTATTAATTTAATAAAAAATAAAAATATTTAGACAAATATGATTAAATTTAATTCACTGTATTTATATTAAAATATTATATATATATATATATATATATATATATATATATATATACGAGAAAAAAAATTAATAATGAGACTCGACTCACAAGAATTAATAATGAGATTCGACTCACAAGATAGTTTTTTTATTTATCATCTTGGTCTATGTGGTTGATCTTAAAAAGACATTTATTGTGCTTGTGTAACATGTGTACAACCAAACCCTGTAATAGTTGAGACTGAATGTTTGCTTCCATATCATCTAGTGGCAGATCTTCTTGTGAGTTGAGGGAGGTTGTGACCTCCCTAAAGTTTTGTAACTCCCAAGTAATTTATGATTTTGACCCCCTCAAACTTAATGAACATTTAATATATTTACTTTATATTTACAATTCTATTCTCTCAGTCCCCCTCCTCAGTTTTGTAACTCTCATATAATTTATGATTTTATCTCCCTTAAACTTAACGATTATTTAATATATTTAAGTATAAATCTACAATTTTATTCTTTCACCATTTCATCTTCTTTCTTCTTTTATATTTATTTATTATTTATTAATAATATATTATTTGGTCCCCCAAGATCAATGGTCAAGATTCATCACTGATATCGTCATCATCCTCTTTATTTGCATACTGCATAAGAGACATATTGGACATAGTAGTCACGAAAGGTGTTTGATTGTATGCTTACTGTTTCTGGTGGAATTTCGATCGATTTCGACTCGTAAGATATTTTGATCATAATCAAAATTCTACCACGTAAGTTCTTTTTGCTTAGGCTAGCAAATTAATTTTCAATCGAAATGTGTATGAGGATCGAATTTTATCCGATTTTAGAGGTACTATTTTTTGGTGTTTTGTATTAAGAATACTCGAAGTAAAGAAAACAGGAAATGTATGGAATCGAAAGACAGTGCTGAAACTTAGATTGCAAAGAAATGTAAATTACGAGAATCTTAAATTTGCTTCAAGTGTAAAAGACATGGAATCGAAACAGCAACGATGTGAATAACGAGAAATCGAATTTGCAGGAAATGTAAAGGACAGTAAATCAAAGGTACAATAGATGACTGGAAATCGAAATTGCATTAATGTAAAATGATCAGGGAATTTAAATATGGAAACTTAACTTGCATTGAATCGAAAAGACCAAGAATCGAAAATACGGAAACATAAAATTGCTGAATATAAATTGCATCAAAATAAATTACCAAGGAAAATACAGAAAGCGATAAAGGTACTCTGTGAGCATGGAAATCCAGATTGCCAGAAGCTTCATGGTGTTCGTCGTTTCTCCGGTAGACTTTTTCACTACTAATCCTGTTCTCTGCCAATTTCTGCCCCCTTGTCCCTTCCTCCTTTGCTCTATTTATAGGGCATCATTCAAGTCTTCCAGGAGCAGTTAACAAAACTGCCACCACGTTTTACGTGCATGTTGCAGTTTATCTTCTACAGTTTCCCACGTTCTCACGATCTTCGACTTCTATCATGGTTTAGAAACTGCTTCCTATATGTGCGTTTGACTATTCTTCCCTTCACGGTTTGGCCAAGGTCTCGATGTCTACTTAGGTTGACTTTCTTCACTCTCGTTTTAATGTTTTCGAGAACTCCAAATTACTTACGACTTCTTTTAACCTTGATCTCATATAACTCTAATTTCTTAGTTTTTTATTCGACAATAAGCATTTGGTTATCATTCACTCGATTCTCGATTGTGCTTCTCGATGTTATGTACTACGTACTTCTATTTAGACATCGAATGGTTTTTTGTTTATCGATTTATCAATCAGTCGCATATTTTCTCGCTTTTTCTTTCCTTCGTTTTCGATCGCTTTTCTCGATTTGCCACTAACAAATGCCCCCTTGGAAGAATATGAATAGTTTCTGTTTATATTCTTTCAATATTCCCGCCTTAGTATTTGGAGGTCCATAGAATTTAGGGTTTAGGGTTTCTGGGGTTCTAGGGTTTAAAGGGTTTTGGGTTTCTTTTTTACTTTATGTCGCTGTCTCGTCAGTCTGCTACCTTATGGTACAAGCCACATTAATTACCTTTCCCCTCCGTCGTTTCCAACTCCCTAGGTGATTTTCCTTTTAATCTCTTCATTGGTCTTTATTCTGGTTTTTTACGCGAACCTTTACCCTTTGCAACTTCATCTTCTTCCTTGAGCTATTGTCTTCATCCCTGCGCCTTCATCTCTTACCTTGCTTTTCTTCATCCTACCAGTTACTGAAATGGCCACTTCCTCCAAATCTTCTGATTTTTCCGCTCCACCCCTTCCCTCATTGGCATCGAACCTGCTGGAGATCAACAATCAGAAGTTCGCTCCAGTTCCTCTGATGGAGGAAGCTTCTCGGAAAATAGCTGAGACGCAGGTACTTATTCCTTACACTGCTGATGGTGTTAATTACGCTTTTGGGGGTCCTCTTCGTCCTATTGATGGAACCTTTTCTCCCCTCAACCTCTCGAATAGTTCAGCTCTTGTACACCAACCTGAAGTTAGGATTGATTTCTTGAACCTTGTCTCTAAGGTGTATCGGACAGACCCTCCTTCTAAAAAACCTTTGTTCATTAGATGGTTTGATAGGGTTAAGGCTAGATTCGGGGATCATTGGAGAAGCGTGGGAATTTTTGATTTTTTGCACCTGTCCCGATGTGATTTATCTCATTTGGACATGACTATGTTCTTGGCTGCCGTTCACTTGTGGAATAAGGAAATGCATGCCCTAGAATTACCTTGCGGTCCTCTTTCGCCTACCCTTTTTGAAGTCGTGGCCATTACTGGATTAGAACCTATAGGGGAAAGATATTTTAAGGGTACATGTCCCTCGGATAACTCTCTAAGATCTAAAATCGATTGGGAATCGAAAGCTTATGGACATTTCCTTGAGAAACATTTCGTCGATGATGAATCGATAACTGTAACTGATGAAGAGCATATCGCCTTTTTGGTGTATTGGTTGTGTACCCACGTTTTTTGCCCTCGATCGATCCAAATCTCCTCCCATCTGTTTGACCTTGCATATCTCCTTCACCTAGGCCAACCTAGAATATGTTTGGTCAAATTTTTGCTAGCACATGTATATACTGCTTTCGACGAGGCCGTCGAAATTTTGAGTATTCCTAAAGCTTCTGGAAATTTCTCTGGCCCTATTTGGTTTATACAGTTGTGGCTAAATTCGATTTTTGAGAGCATCCTTCCCCCAACTCCTACCGTCCCCCCAAGTGTAAATATAGAAGGGGCCCGATTGTCTTCTCGCCATCCTCATCAAAAATCCGATGAAGCTGCCTATTGTAGATACCTCCACTTTTTGTTAACTAAGGTTAATTTCGATTCGACTTTGGCTCCTTTTACCGTACATCTGGGACGAATAAGTGACCAACTCAGGGGACCAATTTGGTTTAAGTCGAAATTCCCCGCTTCAACTCCTGGGTTGCAATTAGAGTTGGTAGATGTATGGAATAACTATTTAACTCATGATATACTAGTATCGGGTTTCCAATCCAAAGATTTCAAGTTCATTACTTACTATCCTCAACTTTTCTCAAGGCAATTTGGTCTGAGCCAGTCCTTACCCTTCTTTCCCTTAGATATTTCCCCAAGGTCCAAGTTAACGGAATCGACAATCGGACGGGAACTTGTCAAGTTTTTGCCAAAAACTCCGATGCATTTTTACCCCTATGTTTTTGAATCAAATTATTTATCGACTGTGGGTTTTTCTCAATGGTGGACTATTTGGTTCTCGAGTAATCATGCTGCTTTTGACGAGGTTCGACAGAAATTGACTGCTCATCCTTCTTTTGTGTTGCAGGACAAATCGAAAACGAAGAAAGGTACACACTTCCACTGTCTTCAAATATCTCGATTCGAAAACTTTTATCAAATATGTTACACCCCACTAAAATTAGAATCGACCTATTATGATGCTGTTATTTCCTTATCCAATAAAACAGACACTAATCGATCGAACCACAAAATAGTCAATCCTCTAGGTAGAACCCCTTTTGAAATGTATTGCCCAAATCGCCTTCCCATTTTTCCCACAGCTCCTTTTGGACTTGCCAAACCTTTAACTCATCCCAAATGGGTTCGAGAATTGAGATCCCTAAGGGAAACACTTCGCCCAAAACCCAAAAACAAAGATATTTCTGTCTCGAAATTATCTTATTTCCCTTACCTTAATCTCCCTAAGGTTCTCTTGCCTCCCTGGCTTGTACATATCGACCGAGTCAAGATTTTGACTCCATCACCTTTTGGTGAGGTTTTACTGCTTTTTCATGTTTTTTGACTTTGTATATTATAAGCTAATTTGTCTTCTTTTGTTGACAGTTTCGAAGTCCTCTAAGGCTGTCGTTGGGGCAGAGAAGGAGAAGGATTGGGAGTCCTCTGATGAATCTGATCCTTCGGCCCTTGTTAGAAAGCGCAAACGCTCGGCCACCATTTCTTCTTCTTCTA